AACATTTCATGTTGATATCGTTTTTGGTTATTTTATTCAGATTTATTTAAAATCAATAGGTTTCGACCCCTTATAGAACCTGATTTTTCCTGAAATTTTCAAGTTGATATAATTTTTCGTTTTTGACTTATCGTGCGAAGTAAACCAAGAATACCTACTCTTCATAGGTGCCTCGTATAATTAAATGATGTGTCCACAGAAAAGTTTTATTAAACATTAATCCTTTGTATTTTGTAGTCTATAATTGCGCCCCTCTATATCATACAACAGTGAAAAGTTTAAGAATCAAACTTTACTCATTATTCCAAAATGTTTCTTCATTTTTTTGAATTGTGTGAGATTATTTTCGTCTTATTTACTTTATTACAGATAAAAAATGCTAAGAACGTGCTCAATATAATCTAAATCCATTAATTAACGATAAAATATAAGAAGGAGATAATTGATATTATTTTTATTAGATTATAAATCAAAATGAAGTTTTTTTGTAACTGTTCTGGTTCTATTGGCCGTTTGTAACTATGTAAATAAAAATTTGTCGTAATTATTATTTAGATCTATCTGTTATTTATGTGCAATACGAGGATGTCAAATCGTTTCATTTCGCGTTAGTTGAGGGGTTTCTCAGGGCTCGAATTTGGGCCCATTATTATTTCTTATTTATAATAACGATATTTATTTTTGTAACAGCTTTAAGAAAAATTTTTGCCGAAGAAACTAAAGGTTATCTTTTCAAAACGACCTTGTTAACTTACTTAACAGGTGTAACTTAAATAAACTACATTTGAACATTACCAAATGCAAAGTGATGTCATTTTTCCAGGAAAGTAAATACAGTTTTATACGATAATCAATTAATTTTGTTATACCACAGATATATAACTATTTGTAGAGATTTAGGTGTCTTATTTCGCAGCAAATTTATTTTTTCGGAACACATTGAAAACAAAGTGCAACAAAAATCTTGGGTTTTGTTATTAGAAATTGTAAGAAATTAAAATTTTTTGAAGCCATTTTGTCTGTTTATAGTTCATTAGTCCGTAGCAAATTCGAGTTTTGCACTTGTGTGAATCTGTTCAAAGATTTTTTTTGAAGTTATGTACTTTAAAAAACATGGCAGTTAGCCCACACTATAACAATACTTTTATTGTTAGAGGAAATCAGTTTTGTGAGTCTGAGACAAAGAAAAAATGTAGCAGATTTGATAATCATTTAAAAAGTAATTAATAATTCTTTGCTATCTCATCAGTTTAATTTTCACTCGAATTGTTTCTAGAGGTCATACATGTACTTTCGTTTTCTACATACAAAACTTCTTAGTATTCTTATACCGCTTTATATTTTCATTTCCTTTGTTTTTGCCTTTGTTTTTCTTCTATAAATCATCTAAATGTATTTTCTCAACTTTTCTCCAACCTAAATACCCTTGAGAGTATATTATTTCTACTTTTTTAACCCAGTTCAACCTCCGCGTCTACCTGATCTTAGCCTCTTTGTTTTTACCGTTTGGCCGCATTTCTCCTACGTAGAAATTCGAAGGTCTATAATATAGTGAAGTATTCAGTTTATTATTGTAACTTAGTGGGTATGCCTATTGTTATCTTGCTCTAGAATTAGAAGACACGTGTGTCAATACCACAAAAAATATATTTTTATTGATAGTAAGCCAAGATCTTTTTACCATGCTCTAGTTTTTATAACGTAGCAACAATATATTTAAGTGATCTATTATTAGAAAGATAGGTACCTACTGACGTAGATACATCAATAATTATGATTACGATTTAAGACAAAAACAATCAAGAGTCAATAAGTAGTAATATAAATATTTTTTAGTTGAAATTGTAAACACTTCAAAATTTAATAAAATCGTGCCATTCTGATAATTTTACGAATATGTATCCTAAACCATTTGGAAATTCAATAAAAAGTTAAAACATATTTTATTCGAAAATTTTGAATTTCTAAGACATAAATATTATTATTAAATTCGTAATAAATATTTTCTATGTCAATCAGACTATAAAATGTTCGATTTCTTCTTCTTCTTTTTTGGGCTGTGTCCATGAGACAATTTACCCAAATGTTCGATTTTACTGGTAATAATAAATTTATATCGTAATTTGACATACCTAACCTATAATTTGGTTTTTTATAGAAAAAATGTAAGAAGAAGAATATTTTTTTACATTAGGATCTTTCGGTCACTGTTGGTGCAGTGTTCACTCCTGCTAAACAGCTGGTGGAGAAAATATCCACCAGTGGACACCACGTCGCCGACAGGAATGCGTAGAGGATTTTACACCGGGCCAACCGAAAGGTATTGTGTGCGTTAGTGTAGTTCATTCCTACACCAGTGGAACAAACGAAAGAACCTATTATTTACGAATGAACGTATATGTCATCTATCATCGTATTAATACTATTCAAAAGTACCTACCTATACATTAGCAGAGACAACAGAGACGTGTAACTTAATAGGAAAATATGTTCGGTGGTCCATTTAAATTACATATATGACTCTCTTTTTCTTTTACATTGATCTTTACATATGTCTATCTCTCTCCAATAAAACTAACACCATTTTCAGAGGGCGCTGGTGTTGCTGGTTTTTTGACGTCGAAATATCGATTAAAAGTATTAAAACTGACAACTGACAATGTTATGAATGTTGTTATGAACATGTGCATTTTATTAAAATTAATTTAATTTGGGCCCCGTATATTTCTTTTAGTCTGATTTTGTTGTTTAATTATTTTTCTTTGGGGGGGAATGTTTATTTTTGCATATTATTTTTTGCATGAAGCAATTTCTGGAACCAAACTCGCGTTTTTGTATACATTTCTTTCTAGAGGTAAGTAATTTCCAATTTATTATGTATATGTGTATAATGTGTGTGTTTAATAATATATTACACAATGACTATAATTATTTTAGGTGAATTGGAACAGAGATCCATTGTTACAGCTACTTGTGTTCATTAAGTAGGTAGATGAATGTCTGGACAGCTTTAATGGCAGCACAAAGTTCCTATCTACTAGAAAAGTTAAATGTATGCTGAGTAAAAAATCTGCACATGTAGTATTGGCAAAGTACTTTTGAAATGATTAGAGATTAGCTATTTCTTACATACACCTACCTCTAACAGCCACTCTAAAGGAAGAAAAAAAAATTGAATCACAAAAGGGCAGAATTTTAAATCAGGATGCATTGGAAAATAAATTTGGGGACATCAGGTCGGTTTTGGATTTTATAGAGAGATCAATCTCAAGAAAAGTTAATTTATCCTGCAGAACAACCAGTAGTTTAAGTAGGATTTGCTATAACTTTATTAGAAATTTTCTTTGATAATAAATTGTAATATAGGTACCAATTATTGTTTCAAATGAAATTGAAAAAGAGTTAAATATGAAATTAGATTTTTCATGAGTAAAATGTTATATTCATTTGAACATTGTAAGGTAATCTATAATTAAGGGAACATGGAAAATAGGTATACCCTGGTGGTGTAAGAGAAAGGTAAGGGGCAATGACAAAAAAATTACCAAAATGTATTTATCTTTAAATAGTGTTTATTATTAATAATATTATTTGCTATGTTTGAAAAGTACCTCCTGCTGCAGAACAGATAGAATATATTAGACTACTAGTTGGAGAAGGTCCACCTAGTAACCAAATTAGGAGACAAGGAAAACTTTTACATGACTGAGGACACAACAGGAATGCACACACACAAGATACACAAACAAACAAAATAACAGGGGTAAGCCTTCAGCAACGTCCTGTTTAAATGATAGTATGTCATCCTTCATTCCATTTTAGAAGGCATGACATATAAATCTATTGATCTTGATTACCCTAAGAAGAGTTAGCAGGGGGTGTACGGAATGGGTCTAGCAGGTTTCGATCCAGTTTACAGGATGGGAACTCCACTCAGGCCTTATACATTTGTGTTGAGTGTATGTGTGTTTGTTTCATTTCCATGGTTTCTATTAAAATAAACAGTCATAACATATCGATACCTTTTTGCCAGACTAACATAAGCGACATTTGTTCAAATGGCACTTATGATAGTCTGGCAAAAAGGTATCGATATACTCTATGCTTTATAAAATATTTGTTACATTAGTTTTTAAATATATTATGAATATATAACAACTGTTTCTTTCTTTGTAATTTGTCACAAAATGATAGGAGGTACTTTCTAAACATAGCAATTGTAGTTTGTTTTTCTGTACCTTAAAAAAATATAATTTATAGAAAAAGAGTTTGGTGTATTATTTTTCCAAGTTTAAATATTTAATAATCAATAGAATTTTCAAGTTTTTTTAGCGAAATTTACAAGAGTAATAAAAACTATGTTCACTGCTTATATTAAACTGATTAAAACTTCCTTTATTAAAATGATTATTTATATGATAAAAAATTTGATGATATTGGAAGCTTTTATATTTTTTAATAAACAGTGAAACAGTTTTTGTTTCTCTTGTAAATTTGTTGTATACAAAAACGATTTCTGAATCCATGTTTGAATTTCCCGCCCTAAAGCATTTTTAATTTTCCCGCTATTTACTAGTGGCGCCATCATAGACTGGTTGTGGTTACAATCGCCCAAATAAGTTTTACCGAACAAAAAAAATACATTGAGTTACACGTCTCGCTGGATTGTCTCTGACATAAGTTATCTTTCCTGCATGCTACATATAGTCTAGAGGAGAAAAGGGTGCAGAACTTAGTACAGTTTCGGCAGGTTAACATTTTATTTATACATTATCCTTCAATGCTTATTTGTAGCTAAAGTGAAAGCTCTAACATATGAATTTCATTTAGAAACCATCCGAATACATGCAGGCACCTAAAAATCCAATAAATTACCACAAAAACAAAACTTAAAAATCTAACCTAATCTCCTAATGAACAATCCCGCAATCACATAAAACATAGAATCATACTGAGTTTGACTGACGATTGTTATCTTAAATCGTTGAATAAAACATAAATTTACTCAAAAAATATTTATTAAAATAACTTAATATTCAACTGGGAAACATCCACTTTTATCTGTAAGCTCTTTTGGACAAGTAACCTCTTCAAAAGTGACATCGGGGTTGTTGTAACCGGCCATCCATTCGAACCTGAAAGCGCAACCTTCTTGTAAAGGTTCAGGCAGCTTGTAGCAATCTTCTAATGTGTGAACGCCACCATTTCGGTCACCCCAAACGCTGGGATCATTGTGCCACTGGTTAACACAGCCTTGGTCCCATAAACCAACACCACTACCAGGCATTGCAATGTCGAATTCGTTGTGTTTTGCGTCTGGATCATCGTTTCCAGTGTTTGTAACTTGAGCCAACATTTTTTTGCCGTTCAGAGGGGAAGGAAGTTCTGTGTGGAATGTAAACATAACGCAGACGCAACACATGTTTCTGTCGCCTGCGTGGATGAATTTAGCTGCGGCAAAACCTAGACAAAAATAATAATTTAGTATCACATTGATGATTAGCTAGCTCATTTGGTGTTAGCAAAAAGACTAGCTTACCGTAAGCCAAAGTTTCATTTTTAGCGTATCCATGTTGGTCGGTACAGATAAAAGATTGTCCATCACCACAACCTGAATTGTTTAATACGTCCATGGCAGTAACTCCATCAGCTTTGCATGCTTTAACCGGTGTTTGTCTGGGATCTGTGTTTTTCAGCCAAGCACATGTTGGTTTGCAGCAATCCCAGTAACGCGTGGCTGTTCCTGTACCAGAGACTCCCCCTACAACAGGCTTTACCTCTTCTATCTGTTCAAGAACGCCGAATGCCGAAGCATCTGAAAATAAAAAGGAGATAAAAATGACAATATTGTCAGCCTTTGAAAGCATATAATAATGAGCTATTATTCGCTATGTTAAAAAATAACAAAACTAGTTTTAAAACTGATCATTTAAATTACACTTCTTGTGCCTAACCATGCACATTGTACTGGTTTAGTTAGAGGCTAGTCGTTTTACAGTAGAAATTGTGAATGTGACTTAAGTTCATGTCATACTGACAAGATCGACAAGACTTGTTAAATTAAACCTATGCCCTCCATAGTTCGGACATAAGAATCCCTGTACTGATCGACTGATCAAAGCATCAAAGGCTTGATGATCCGGAACAGTTCCATGACAACTATTTTTGTTTTTTTATTAGGAGTTTTGATTTAAATACATCAGATTTTGATTTTTTGAAACAAAAAGAGGATATTTCTTAAACAAACTTTATATAAAAGTAGGAACATTTATTTGGATTGTATATACAAAGTATAATAGCAGTCAAATGTATGATTAAAAATACAATAAATTTTCTAAGAAAATAACATAAAATGTACACGGGTACGGAAATTTTACCATGGAAACTGTAACTTTACCCTTTCGACCCCCTTGGGCTATATATGTCCCGATGAGAATTTAAAATTTCTATTTGGTATAAATATAACACAATTTTAATGTGTTATTTAATTAATGGTATTCTTCAAGCATATTCTTGAAAACAGAAGTTCTGGCAACATGGCTTGTTGTTTACCGATCATTTGTTCACTTGTTTACAAGCGTGCTAGATGAGTCTGAAGCTTTTTTGCGTTGTTTGTGTTATTTCCAGTTCTTTCATAAAAATTTTAACAGGTTATTAAATTTAAACATAATATCTATTCGTAAAATTTATTTCAAAAACCAAGTAAAAAACATGCAATTTTCTAGTGGTATTTGCAAGTGGGACATATAAAACCCAGTGGTTTTCTTTTGTTACAGTATATTTCTGAAGATGAAGATATAGATGATGATAGAGATAAAGATTATGAAACCGAAACAGAATCTTCCAAATCAGGTGAGAATGGGAAAATAAGTGAAGATGACGGAGAATCTTTAGATAGTGAAAGGGAATCTTCAGATAGTGAAAGAGAATGTAAAAACGATGATCGCACAGAAAATGAAGACCAAAATCAAGAAATACAAGAAAACAATAAAAATCAAGATGAAGCCATTGTGTGGTCCAGCCTCTCTGATGACTTTCTACCAAGGTTCAGAATTCCTGCAGAAAATACGCGTGAGTTAGATAAAAGATTTACAAGATCTTTGATGACACGATTTGAGGAAATCAAAAAATTGTTTCCTCCAAGTTTATTTATCTTTATTTCTGAATGTACAAATAAAAGGCTGCCAATATTAGTAAAACAGAAAAAGAAACGCATTACTAAAACCGATGTAGGTAAAATTCCAATTGTTTTAGGATCTTCCCTAGTAATGAATTATAACAGTTTGCCAGGTCTTAGACATTATTGGTCTACACATCCTTCAGTAGAAAATACACTAATAAAAAATAGTATTTCAAGAAATAGATTTACATTGTTATTATTTAAATTATACGTAAATGATCCAGAAAAGCAGGGTACCTCTAAAACATATTATGTGGATGAACTAGTGAACTGTCTATTATCAACATTCCAAAAATGTCGAGCAGATTCTTCCAGGCAAAGTATTGATGAAAGTATGGTAAAATTTAAAGGCCGTTCTGGACTAAAGCAATATTTACCAATGAAACCCACTAAAAGAGGAAACAAAATATGGGTTAGATGTGATTCTTACAATGGTTCTACCTATGACATGAATACTTATGCTGACAAGGAAGATCAGCAACAAGAAACAACTCTTGGCGAAAGAGTTGTATACAAATTAGCCAGTACGATAAAGTCAACAGATGTCGTATTATATTTCGGCAGATTTTTTACATCTGTAAAACTTATGACTAACATTCCATTTCCATCAGTTGGAACTGTTATGGTAAATAGAAAAAATATACCAAAGATTACAAAAAAATTAAACAGAGGAGAGTGCGAAATTCTTGGAAATAAGTATGGTACCATTTGTTTCAAAAGGCAAGACACCAAAGAAGTTACAGTGCCACGGAAAAAACTTGACTGTTGTTCAACGAAGAGGCAAAGATGGCATACGAAAAGATATAGAATGTCCAGAAGCAATAGCATTTTATAATAATTTCATGGGTGGGGTGGATTTAGCTGACCAATTGTCTGGTTTATATGACATGGACCGCAAGTCCGGTAAATGGTGGAAAAAAGTTTCTGCAGTCAATAGCTTGTAATCCAACTTGCCGAAGAGATGACAGATTTTGGTAAAAGAAAAATCAAAAGTACACGTTCGAAAAAGATCCATTGGTAGACCTTCAAAAAAATCAAGACATATGCTAAATATTGGGAAGCATCTACCAGTTGAAGGCAAAACTTGCCGACGTTGTGCAAGTGTTCTCAACAAAAAATAGAAAAAAAGAACAAGGACTCTATGCAGAATGTGCTAATTGCCCCTGTGCAAAAATTGTTTTACACCGTACCATACCTGAAAATAAACATTTCAAAAACTGTTTCTAGTTTTTTTTTATGTGGGATGTATATATCCCATTTAAAATTGCCAGTGAGATATATACGTCCCACTTGTCAATGTCAAAAATCAAAATTTTTGAAACTGTACGTATTCTGGAAAATATATTTCTAAAACATATTATTCATTTTTTTTGTTTTAAATTTTGTAATATTGAAAATAAAAAAGTGGAGCTGAAAGGGTTAAAATGAATTGAACAAGGTGTAATAGAAACATGCACATATCAGGCAGAGACCACTGTCGCTTGTCGCGCATAAATATGTGTCTGATGTATGTAGGGGGTAAAGCAGAAGTCGAAGCCGTATCGATGCTTGCTGACAGCGATCTCTCTCTCTCTCTCTGTTTTGTACATGTTCCTATCAACCTTGTTTAACAAATTGTCAGGTATACCTTCCTTTTTGAAAATTCTGGTACATATTTCTAAAAAAAGAAGACACAAAAGCCACATCTAGATCTTCATATTAAATACCAGCTAAAATCATTAAAATAAATAGATATATAAATAATGCTGTGATTTAGAAAACGTCGTTTGCATAGACGATTTTAAGAGGAACTTTGGTTTAAGACTCACTTAGTTCCACTGTAATTCAAAAGCAGTTACTTTCTTAAGCGGTCAAATTTGGAAACGAGGAGCCTATAGAAATGCGCATATCATTACCTATTTTTAGGTAATGATATGCGCATTTCTATCAATTTTAAAGTATCAATATTACTGCGATGGCCTGTCATTACGTCTTAAAGACGTGAAATAGAAATAAAAATTTTAATATTCCTACAAATATTGTAGGTATCTAATTACATTTTCGTGCGACCGGCCCTGATTTTTGTTTACGCCGTTCAGCAGCTCATCTGTCTATCTAGCTTTCGCTGCCCGCCTCGAGAAGGTACTGGAATGTTCTTTGTACGCAGGCCGACGCATGGAGGAAGGATTTTGCGAACGTCTACTAGCATTGAGATTCTTTGAGACATGATTGGATTTTTCTAGGCCGTTACATTTTTGTATATAAGTGAATTCTTTTGCCGTACTTAGTTAAGTTTATAGACAGAAATTAAAGATAGACATTCAAATTGTTATATAAATTAAATAATAAATGTGAAATATAAATCAACTATAAATAAGTAAATTGGTGTTCAGTATATGTAAATAAATTGTAAATATTTTTACTTACATGCGACCAAAAGTAGTACAGAAGCAAGTGCGAATTTCATATTTGATAATCAATCAAACAATAATTATTAGGTAATAAAAAAAATGTTGTATAAATACTTTTTTTCTTATCTTTACACTTCAATTTTATTACTGCAGAACGATTACGAAGAATTAATTTCTCTTTTCAAATTTAGCTCTTTTAATTTAAATATATATACCGGGATTCCGTAGATTTCTGGCCATCTAAAATCTACATGAGTTATTTGACATGATATGTATTATGTTTACAAACATATGATGTATACAGGATGAACCACGAATGAGCAATCTTTCATGGGGTGAACTACTCAAATTAACTCCTTGTCGAATCACCACCTAGAAACCACCCTTAACATTGTTTTTCTTAATTTGATACAACTGTTCACCCTTATTTTACTGATGTACCTATACCAGTAGAACTAGCTTAGTTCTTTTTTTAGGCTTTTATGGTTTGACAAGGGGTTACTTCCAAAATTTTGTTCGCATGTTTCTAGGGATGATTTGATCCTATACAATCCATCTTTACCGTTATTTGACAAGTTATACGCGAAAAAAGCGCGGGTCTTTGAAATATAGTAATTTTTCATCTCTCATATTTTCTTGTCTTACCACTGTTGGGTTGGTTACGAAATACTTTGATGCAGACGCACTAGAAGTGGATCATTCGATGATGATTTCTTCAAAAAGCCAATATAGAAAATAAGAATGGAAAAAAGTTTGCTGCCATCTTGGTAGCGGTGGAAAACCTTTAAGACTGGAAAATGAAATTGTTATAATAATATATTGTATTTACGCTAAGCTCATTTTTTTGTTATATATTATTAATGAAAATTGTTTACTGCAAACGATATGGCAAGACGGTACTATGAGTTAAATTTAAAAAAGGTGCCATTAAACTTATTGTTACTAACTTTTAATGTAAATAATCAGGTCGATTCTGTTTGCGATAGCAATATTTTTATGAAACTAATTTCAAAAGATATTGTTATCATAGCAATATTTGTAGAATACTTGTGTTCTTGTCGTCCATTTTAAACAAGATGATTCGTCATTTATTAATAGATCTTGCTATTCTAGATTGCTATCCTTTTTGTACTTGTTAACCGAATAAAAAAGTGGTTTTATTATTTAGAAATGGCTTATCCATTATTTTGTCATATTTTTTTAAACGAATACGAAATATAGCGAGCAGCTACATATTTTTGCGATCTTTGAGCCCTGAAATTTTTCGTCTCTATCTGTAGCTGCCCGAGTGTTTTCGACGCTGTTTCAAGAGTTTGTGAAGTGAACCATATTAAATAATCTGGCGCTCGAGAGTCACTCTGTAGCATTGATAAATTAATGTTAAAAGATAAACCGTTTAAATGCACGGCACTGGTATCAGGTGGTTAGTTCCGGCCATACTATTTGGAGCCACCATCGCAAATAAGATGAAAGCGATGTTGCCAGTTTCTATAAACTTTCACGAGATTAGAGTTATTTCAAAAGCACAAGCTGAACCTTATTTTGTTTTTGCCGTCTCGATACCATCCATACAATGGCCATAATATTGCTGTGATATTTTAAAGAGAGGTTTAACAACTGTGTTGATAATCTCGTAAAAAATGAAAAACCCACAAAAACCATCATAAAATAAAAGTTATTATGTTGTAGTGGATGCAGTTTAGTAGTAACAATTTAATTTAATAAGGTGTTAAATTTGTTTAAGGACTTTGTTTATCATTGTTTTCTTACAGCTTTAACGAAGTATTATTTCATTTTGGATCAATTTTCAATTCTTTTTCAATATACCTATTTTTAACAAATCATGTCTGGCCCGGGTAAAATAAAGTATTCTTATTCAGCTCCTAATTGTTTAAATAAGTATTACTCTAATATTCAAAAGGCTGGTTATTCAAATAAAACCTTTTTAACCGACTTCAAAAAAGGAGGAGGTTCTCAATTCGTCGCGATATTTTTACATTTACCTTCCGACATAAAAATTCGCGAGAACTGGTTGAAGAATTTAAATTTATCTTTAGATAATAACATTCGCTATATTTGTAAAAATTATTTTTGCCATATTCTTTTAGTAAAATTTCTTCAAAATGTGAACGACTAATTGCATATTCTGTACCAATTTTATTAGATAATAGTACATCCAGTTGAACTAACCCGAGAGTCAGATTTTAAAAATGTTGAGACTAAAGCACATACACAGCAGCATACGATAGATTTGCTAATCCACAACAAAAAACAAGAAATTGGTTGCAAAAAATTTGAACAACCACTCTGTTAAAAATGAAAAGTAATTTTCAAACTCAAATTTGGTCCAGTTTTTCAAGAATGAGAGGAGAATACTATTAATTTCACTTAGTTATTGTTATTTGTACATGTTATGTATGTAATAAACATTTGAATGCACCTTACCAGAGTTGCCAGAATATGTTTTTGTTATGTAGCAGATGTATCTAAAAAATGTACCAGATTACATAAAAATGTACAAGATTCCATAAAAATGTATCAGATTCTATAAAATGTACCAGATTTTTCGAATTGTGAAGTGGTTCATTGACAAGCAAAAAAAACAACAATCCAAAAAAGGAAGACTCTAACAATATATTTTAAACGTCAAATGGAAACATACGCTGAAAAAAGAAAAAGTACTAGATTTTGATTTAAGTGTACTAGAGTACCAGATTCGTAGAGAATGTACTAGATCTAGTACAATTGGACTAGACTGGCAATACTGCACCTTACTTTTATTAAATGATTAAACTATACCTGTGTTTCAAATATTTTAATTTATATAGAAGTTTTATTACTTAAAAAACTAATATTTATGTTAAATAGTGTATTTTAATGTAAATATTAGTTTTTTTAAAGTAATGAATGCCAAAAAATGTAAATAAATAATAAATGACATTTGAATGAGCCGCAGTCATATACTTTGATTACTATACGGGGCAAGAGAGAGGTCCGATACGCCCAACATAGGGCGCGGCCATTTTGAACCCTATGACACAGTTTATAGCTAAAGAATCAGATCGCTCACTCTGCGTCGGCACTTTTTATCTCAATGTTCCAGTTTATACACTGCGCAACTCAGATAATACAATATATGACAACCGCCTATAATAAAACAGCAGTCTTCTGCGTATCCTGAATTTGTATCCCTGGAGTGGATGTTATTTTGGAACTTTTAACTGGTCCGAGTGAGCTAACTGATTCTTTAGCAATAAACTGTGACTCCAAAAAGAATATTCACTGACACTGACAGCAGCAAGCAAAATATCAGGTGTGTTTTAATCATCCGCTTCTGCTTCCGGAATTGTCGGTTCAGTCGTTCTAACCTGTCAGATTAAAACAAGAAAACCGACAATGCCGAAGCAGAAGCGGATGATTAAAACGCACCTATTAAAAATATTGCGCCAAGATGTAGGCAACACGTAATAAGGGTTCAAAATGGCGGAGTTTTCTATCTCCTTTTAAAAGGCACTCAGAGTGCTGCGCAGTGCGACCATTCTCCGTATAGTAAAAGAAAATCAAAGTATGTGGCCGCAGTTAGGCTTGACATTATTCTTTTGAATTTTCTTCTTTTATGCTACCTCCAACTGTGAAAGTAATCAACCAATTGTGTAGCGTGCGATGGTGGCGCAAAATATTATGGCCGGAACTAACAACTTGTTACCAATGCCATGCATTTAAACGGTTTATCTTTTAATATTAATTTATCTATGCTCTGTAACGAGAAATGTTATTTACAAAAGTATTATAAAGGCGATTTTAAATCAGTTACTAGAAATGTGACCAAGTCAAGTGTGGTTAAGGTTCTTACGTCATTATAATGACGTTCTAATAATCTGATTTAAAAATGTTTGGTTTATATTGACACTAACTTTACAATGGGTGTAACATTGGCAGATATCATGAATTTTTATTTGTGTGTTATGTAATAGTAGTAGGATTTGTTTTTGAATTTGTAGGGATAAAAAATAAATATTTTTTTTGTTTACTGATCATGGATGAAGAGAAAATTGGTATTATAGTTACTTTGGCCTCTGAAATTTTATCAAAACTTTAGCCATGTTCATTAATAAATCCTACCTTGAAAATAAATTGGCTTTTCATTAGCAGAAACCTTAAATGCGTCCATATCTAGGTACTCAGCCAGGGTTGAAAGACGTCGCGCTTTAGGCGTAATTGTCCCGCTTTTTAATTGCTGGCATCTTCGCTGGCACGCGTTACGCCAAAGTACAAAAATGCTCCGCATTTCATCTTATTGCTACGTTTTTTAAATTTAAAGTTATATACAATGATATTTTTGACAATGTTTGACCTGTTTTTGAGAAGCTCAGAAAAAGGAATGTGATGGTTTAAATAAATATAAGCGGAGGACCTTTTTTTAGATCTTTACAAAAAAAGGAGCTTATTTTATAAAAATACCTGTTTTTTTAACCTGATACCCTATCGTCACCATTGTCCCACTTTTCCCTTTCGTAAATCTTTCTTTCTATTTTACAAATAACACAACCAAACAATGATTTAATAATTAAAAAGTAAAAGTTTTACATTTGTCATTTCATTTGACATTTTATACCTGTGATGACCACGTTTTTACTGTAGTCATGTTAAACTTGACTATTTCAAGACAATATTCAATATGACGTCATTGTTTTTGATTTATATCAGTGTAGTCAATCATATTCAAGACATAGTATCTGATTTAAAATCGCCTTTATCAGAGACAACTAATGAGACGGTTAACTTCATAGCAAAAATTGATTGACATTTAGATACAATAGTCATCAGGATCAGCTAGAATTTTTTCTTTGTCATGTACATTATTTCCTTATAACGTTATCTCGTTCTCATAAGCTGAAAGATAGCGAAGATGTCGCTGGTAACGTTCCAGCAATGTTGCCGTTATGAACATTTTCCAAATTTGTTTTTTTTTTACATTTAAATAATAATGATCTTATTTATCCATAAGTAATACTTATATTGGACTTTTAATTTCTTTGTATATAATATATATATAACAAAAGATGTGTTTTAAGAAATATATAGCAGGATTGTGTACAAAGATCAAAAATAAAAAGTCAATAGCACTAGAAGAAAATAAGTTTGGCATCACAGCCCGAGCATTTCACTTTGACGTCTGCCAGATTGACGTATTTCTAACCTATCATTTTATCTCCTTGTCCAATTTTTTGTTTCTGTTTGTTGACTTTGGTGTCGTTTTACTTATATATTACAATTTAACTTGTAAATTCATTTTTTTTGTTGTTTTTCATTCATTATTAGTCACGTATTTAAATTTGTTAGTTTAGTATTTTCCCCGGTAAATGACATTTTTATCGTGGTGTTTTCATATTAGGTAGTTTTAAGTTTGTTTACAAACCCGAAGGAACTAACAATGCCCCGATCACGCCGGGATTTTGTTTAATTTCCGTAAAGTAAGTATTTCAATTTTATTGTAGAACCTTTGTGATGTGAATGTTTATTATTGTTTAATACAGAATATATCTTATTATTGAAATCATACTTCGTTTTATTTTCCTTCTTAATGCTTTTTATTTTGTGTGCCTAAAAAAAATGATTTTTTTTCTGATTTGATGTGCTAGTAAATGTGAATTACATATTTATTCACATTTCCAGTGCATCAAATCAGAAAAAAAATCATAAAAATAATAGAAAAAGTGGATCTACATATTTGAATTTCCCGCGGTTTTCTTTTTTTTTTTAAATTATAATTTGACCGGTTGCCTATAAAGAAAAAGGCCACTATTAAAACAAGGTATACCAGCGCCCTCGGCCTTATCTTCCAGTCCAATCGCCCAGTCAATTCTTGGTGAAAAGCAAAATTGCATTGAGTTAACCGTCTCGTGTTGTCTCTGTAGCTACTCAAATCAAGGGATACGTCCTCTGACGGAACAACTTATTAACTTCAGCAGTGATCTTAAAAAAATTGTAACTGATATTAAAAATAATAGTAAAATAAAGCTATTTCTTTTTATATAATCTATTCGATTAACCATTGGATATATATTATGTACTTTGCAATCTATAATTATGCCCCTGTATCACCCAACGATGGAAAATTTAGGGATTAAATATTAACTATTTCGAAATTTATCTTGATGTTTTGAATTGCGTCGGATTAATTTTTGAGTTATTTATTGGAGATAAAAACCACTAAGTACGTGCTCAATATCATTTGAATTTATTAATTATAGATAAAATATAAAAAGGACATAATTTGTATTTTATTTAATAAATTAATAATCAAGGTGTCTTAAGCAAACATAGAATAAAATGAAATATTGTGTAACTGCCCTGGTTCTATTGGCCGTTTGTAAGTATAGGCAAATTAAAATGAAAATACAATAAAATTAATATTTTTCGTAATTATCATTATTAATTTTAAATAAAATAAATAAAACACGAAGCTATAAGTCACACAACAACTACTCCTTTGGCTAATACCGTAACAGGTATTAAAATATAGCAGAGAAATTTAATTTCAATACTCTACCTTTGATTTTGCTCACAAAGGAGAATGTTATTCTTGAACGGGTTTCGTCTTTATTGTGACTCTTCAGCATGAAATAGATATGTTGTATTTTGTGTGACATATGGCTTTGTGTTTTATTTATTTTATTTTTGTCTTGGTCACATTTGCGTTGGAATTATTTTCCTTCTTTAATTGTACTTCTATTTTTGTTCTCTATATTAAAACTAAGAATACCACTTTAAGGTTTCATTTATTTCTTTAACTTTTTTTAAACAATATTAACTGTCTCTTTACTATAGTAGGCCTATCTTCACCTCTTCTCTGAACTGTCTAAATGTATTTACTCAACTTTTCACCTACAGAAATAACCTATAAAGTACATCATTTCCACTTTTTCCTGCTTTGTAACCCAGGTCTCAGTCTATATCTTCTCTTCACTGTTAAATTCGTAATCACCAATCAGACTATTGATCTGCATGAATGTAACATTGAATCGAAACTTGATTCAAGAAAGAGACTAGGTGTTGATGCCATTCCCCCTTTCTTCTAAAAAACTGCAGCTTCTTATTGTTTCGTCTTCTGCTTTTTTATTTTTAACAAACCATTGATACAAGTATGTTAAAAAATCTGAAATAAGCTATAGTTAGCATAATCAAAAGCTCTCTGAAAGTACCATAACTTACTACTTAACTTATGACTGTTGTGGCCTTTACGCTTGCAAGTATAGCCCAATCGGATTAGGTGAAGAACAGGCTTGAGATTCTGAAAAATTCGAAGCAGCAATTTTCCTTCGGAATTCGTTGGAGGGGGTCTCTGGTAGTCTAAATTCAAAAAGTTGGGATTCCAAAGTTGTCGTTACCTCCGCCATCTTGATTTAAAGGGTTATTTTTTGTATCTTGAATAACTCATTTATTTTCAATTTTACACGGAAAATAGTTTTTACAAAAATTATTTAAAATTAAATTTCCTGCAATTCTGCTTTTTTTGTACGATCGATTTTTTTCGATTTATACCCGAAAAGAGGGGGTGAATTTTTGGTTATAGAATAACTCGTTTATTTTCAATTTTACGAGAAAAATTGTTATAAACAATGTTGTTTAAAATTAAATTTCCTACAATTCTGCTTTTTTTTGTACGATCGATTTTTTTCGATTTATACCCGAAAAGAGGGGGTGAATTTTTGGTTATAGAATAACTCGTTTATTTTCAATTTTACGAGAAAAATTGTTATAAACAAAGTTGTTTAAAATTAAATTTCCTACAATTCTGTTTTTTTTTGTACGCTCCATTTTTTTTGTATTTATCCCTGAGAAGAGTGGGGGTAAAGTCTTAGAAAAAATCGGAATCATAATTGTACCAAATAACATTTTTGAAAATCAGCAAAAAAAAACAAACAGAAAAAATAATGGTACAACATCAATAATAAACGTGACAATACAATACTTAGGTTCACCCCCACTCTTCTCAGGGATAAATACAAAAAAATCGATCGTACAAAAAAAAACAGAATTGTAGGAAATTTAATTTTAAACAACTTTGTTTATAACAATTTTTCTCGTAAAATTGAAAATAAACGAGTTATTCTATAACCAAAAATTCACCCCCTCTTTTCGGGTATAAATCGAAAAAAATCGATCGTACAAAAAAAAGCAGAATTGTAGGAAATTTAATTTTAAATAACTTTTGTAAAAACTATTTTCCGTGTAAAATTGAAAATAAATGAGTTATTCAAGATACAAAAAATAACCCTTTAAATCAAGATGGCGGAGGTAACGACAACTTTGGAATCCCAACTTTTTGAATTCAGACTACCAGAGACCCCCTCCAACGAATTCCGAAGGAAAATTGCTGCTTCGAATTTTTCAGAATCTAAAATACTAATCCGATTGGGCTAGTAAAATTAACTGAATGCATATGCTAACTTTCTTTCGGAAGTACTAGAGTTGGGGAGTCAGGTAGATGCTGTATATATCGACTTTTCCAAGGCTTTCGATAGACTGAATCATGACTATTTAATTCATAAACTAAGTATTTGGCTTAGGTGGCTTATTGTTGCAATGTATTAAAATATATTTTATTAATAGAACATAAATAGTCAAAGTAGTTACTTCTAAAGTCCCCCAAGGCTCCCATCTGGCACTCCTTCTTTTCAAAGTGACACGTCTCTAACCAGTGTTGCCAGTCTAGTACAATTGTACTAGATCTAGTACATTCTCTGAGAATCTGGTACTCTAGTACACTCGAAACAAAATCTCGTACTTTTTTCAGCGTACGTTTTCATTTGAAGTGTAAAATATAAGTATTGGTCAAAACTTGCAAGAGAAATTAAAATAGTTGTTAAAAATTACTTCAGAGATAAAATAGTAAATATTTCTCGAGAGATAAAACATTGTTTAAAAATTGCACGAGAGATCAAATATTGTTCAAAAATGGCTTGAGAGTTAAAAAAGTGTGTTAAAAATTTGTCGAAGTATAAAATAGTATTAGAAATTGCTTGAGGGGTAAAATATTGTTCAAAAATTGCTCTAGGGATAAAAATACTGTTAGAAATTTAATGAGAGATAAAAATATTTAATAATTTTTGACAGATTAAATAGTATTATAAATTGTTGAAATCGTGTTCAAAAATTGCTCGAGGGATAAAATACTATTAGAAAATACTCGAGAGATAAAATATTGTACAAACATTGCTCGAGATATAAAACATTGTTAAAAATTTATCGAGAGTTAAAATATTTTTATAAATTTGTCGAGAAGTAAAATATTTTTATAAATTTGTCGAGAGTTAAAATATTGTGCAGTTTGCTAAAGAGATAAAAAAGTTGTTAAAAATTGCTCGAGAGATAAAATAATGTTAGAAATTTATCGAGAGATAAAATATTGTTTAAATATAGCTCAAGAGAAAAAGGTTTAAAAACTGTTCGAGAGATAAAATAGTATCATAAATTATTAAAATCTTTTTCAAAAATTACTCGAGAATTAAAAAATACTATTAAACATTTCTCGAGAGATAAAATAGTGTTAGAAATTATTAAAATTTTGCTTAAAAATTGCACAGGAGATCAAATATTGTTCAAAAATAGCTTGAAAGGTAAAAAAGCTATTAAAAATTGCTCGAGTGATTAAATAGTGTTAAAAATTGTACAAAAAATTTTGTACAAACATTTCTCGAGGGATAAAAAAAGTTGTTAAAAATTGCTCGAGAGATAAAATACTGTTAGAAATTTGTTTAAAAACTGTTCGAGAGATAAAATATTATCAAAAGGTGTTAAATCTTTTTCAAAAATTGCTCGAGAGATAAAATAGGGTTAGAAATTGTTAAAATTTTGTTCAAAAATTGCACGAGACATCAAATATTGTTTAAAAATAGCTTGAAAGGTAAAAAAGGCTATTAAAAATTTCTCGAGTGATTAAATAGTGTTAATAATTGTACAAACATTGTTCGAGGGATAAAAAAAAGTTGTTAAAAATTGCTCGAGAGATAGAATACTGTTAGAAATTTATCGGGAGATAAAATATTGTTTCAAAATAGCTCAAGAGATAAAAAAAGATTTAAAAACTGTTCGAAAGATAAAAGAGTATCAAAAGGTATTAAAATCTTATTCAAAAACTGCTCTAGAGATAAAATAGTGTCAGAAATTTGTCGAGTGATAAAAAATTGTTTAAAATTGTTGTGTTCGTGTTCTCTATAAACCTTTTTTTGCTCTTTAATGACCATACTTCATAATTAGACAAATCTGGTAATTTTATAGAATCTAGTACATTTTTATGAAATCTGGTACATTTTTTAGATAAATCTGGTACATTACAAAAATATATTCTGGCAACACTGTCTCTAACGATTACTCTGTTACTTTTAGAGTTCCCGAATGCTCCCATCAACGATGTAACTTCCTGTTTTCGGCATAGACATTTCTTACTTCTTGTAGATGGCGTTAAACTTTTCGAAAATAAAATATTAAATCAATTAATTATGGAGTACACAAGATTATTAACAAAATTTCAGTTAAAACTGCTGTATTCTTTTACATCGACCTACTTGATTCCTAAGTCGTTTGTATGTTATGTTGCCTACCTATTTCTATGAATAAGCATACAGATTACATACTATTTAATTTTATTACTTATATGTCGGTAATTATTTATGATTAAATCATTTAATTAATTTCGGAAAATACTGTTGGATGATTTAAAATATTATGAAGTCAATTAAAATATTTGTTTAGGCTATAGTTTGTTTTAAAATTACTATTAGCTCTATTTTTGGTGCGTTTGATTTGATCATCGGAGATCTTCGAGCGCTTCAAAAGTGTTTGAATTGACACTCCGAGAGATCCCTAAAGTGTTTGTTTCACTTTGGAGCGAGAACATAGAGCGAGCTCGATGTTCTCAGAGCAGGAAGGTCGAGAAGAGGGAGAAATTTGTCTTTGTCTCTACCTATCTCTTTTTAATTAACTTACAAACAAATTTGAATCTCAAAATTAAAGACCAAACAAGAACTCAACAAATTACTTAGCCGCTTTTGTCTTATAGCTAAAATTATTCATCATAAAAAAACACAAAATGTGTGTTTGGAAAATACATTTTTTCTGTCCAGATCTAATCACCAGTAATCACAGTCATGGAGTAGGAGAGCAAAACGGGCATTTGTGGTAAATGCTGCATTTTAGGGCCATTACCCCTTATTATTAAAAGTTTTTCCATTTTATTTACTTTTTGCTCACTATTTTAACATACAAACCAGAAACAAGAATCACAAAAAAGCGAGGTTATGTTTTTTACTCTGTTTTATTTGATTTGATTCAATGCTCTATTGTGATGTCATCACTTCTCGGTCTCCTCGACGCTCGCTCGATCGAGTTTCAAATCAAACGCCCCTTTTATCTATAAAAACGAGAGACAATAATGTCAAAGCATGACAGTTTGCAAAAAACATCAACTTTGCAGTTACTTTTCAAGTGATTGTGGAAAAATGTATTTGTTCTTTGTTTATTTGTAAAGGCTTTTATTATCTTTATTATTTTAGCTGTTTCGGCTGGCGAGAATATCGCCATAAAGAAAATCGCGGGTGGTGTAAGCGGCGTAGGTACCACCACAAGGTACTGGGATTGTTGCAAACCGACGTGCTCTTGGCCAGGAAACGTAGAATACAAGAAACCAATTCAAGCATGCAAAGCTGACGGAGTGACTGCCAACGATCCAGAAAACCAATCAGGTTGTGTTGGTGGCCAGTCCTACAGCTGTACCAACCAAGCTGGTTACGCCAAGAATGATTCCTTAGCTTATGGTAAGAAATAATAAATCCTTTTAAATAATATTCAATATCGGAATTTATTGTCGTTTTTTAGGATTTGTCGCAGCCCGTTTTCACGATACAGACAGAAATATGTGTTGCTCTTGCGTGCTCTTCACCTTCAACACCCAATGGCCTTCTCCATTAAATGGCAAGAAAATGTTGGTACAAGTCACTAATACTGGTAACGCTCCTGAGTCTCAAACCAATTTGTTTGATATCGCCATGCCTGGAAGTGGAGTTGGATACTATGAAGAAGGTAACATTTTAAAATCTATCATTTCTGTCGTTTGCGATATTATTACAGACTTAAGAAGGTAACATTGTAAAATTATGAATAATCTGTCATTTCTGTCATTTGCGATGTTATTATAGACTTAGATCATTTATACAGCTCAAGAAAGATATCTGATACGGAGCATAATAAGCCGCCATTTTGCTATTCCATCGCCAGAATGTAAACAAGCATTATTCAATAATGAAACAAGTCATAGAAGTAATTTTAAATGACTCCAAAATTGAAAACTGATCATTTTTTCATGAATTCCATCATCAGATCTTTACCAAATTTATAAAAGACCATCTCTGAGGCATACCCTTTCTAACTAAAGAAAAGAATCATATAAATTGCAAGTTTTAAAGAATTATCGCTAAACATACGTAAAATAAAAATATTCCGACAAAATGAAAACCTCCTTTTTTTAAAATCGTTTGATCATAAAAAAACATTCAGTATCATATGCATGTGGATGTAAAATCCTAGGGTGAGATTACAGAACGTCTGCAACTTTGCAGATCTGCAAATATGGTAGCAACTTTGAAAATATGCAAATATGACTGACTTTACACATGCAAGTATCAAGTTTTCGTATTCCAAATTTGGATTTAGTGTTGTTGGGGGTAATAAACCACAATAAATATTGCGAATTTGCAGATATTTTGTTTGGAATACTTACATTTGTAAGTCCGCCATATTTGCAAATTTGCAGATGCAAAGTTGCAGATGCAAAGTTGCAGATGCAAAGTTGCAGACGTTCTGTAATCTCACCCCAATACGTTTGCAACCAACATTGTAAATTTGTGTTAAATAAGTTGCATACATCAAGGCTCTGTAGTACTGTTAACTAATATGAAATGTGATTAACAAAATGAAAAAAATTACTATTTTAAAACACATAAACCCGATATGAAACGACAAACTCACAAAATGTAAGAATAAAAATAAATCTTAGTCATAGACAGTTGTTTCTTTGTTGATTTTATCATTTTCTTTGTCACTAGCAGGTAGTACATTTAGTCAGGCTTCTTGTTTCTATTATATTCCCCTGCTTTTTGCGTATTCTGGTACTATTTTTAAATAAGGTCTTTGGTTAGTTTTTATTAGGTCCTACTAAAGGTTCCTACCACAGGTTCCTGCTTCGCATACGAAGATAAAGTGGTGTCAGGTTTCTTCCTGTTCCATTCAGAGTCTAGACGACACGTGGTGGTGGGATATTGTGTAATCGCATCACATGTTTCAAGTGTCCCTTTAAGCAGTTTCCCTTTAGTAATTCCATAATGATGATATTTGGGCTTTGGAACTATGTACTACCTCAGCAACCATACGTGGGTCTCCTTAGCAAGAGTTTACTGGTTCTATGTCGTTTCATCTGTTGTCAGTATGTTTGCTGTTTATTGTTTATCCACCTGTTCAATGCGTGTCAAGAAGAGATTTTGTTTATTCCAAATACATGTTCGGATCATGTGAATGATAGTTTTGATCCCTCTCTGGCGAGTCCATCAGCCTTTTCATTTCCATGTATACATGTATGACCTAGTATCTTTTTATGGACAGCCACACACACATTCAAGGCAGTTCCAGACTAGCTTTTTTTCGATTCTGTTTGAGCCAAAGGCATTTAAGGCTGCTGGTTGTCTGCGAGAAATATTATGATTAAAGTTCAGTGGTGTATTTTCCCAATGAGGTGGTGTTATCGCATTTAAACTCCATCATGCCTGGCTGTTCCAATGTTTCCTCGCTTCTTTCAGATCCATCCATATACTATGCTGTAATATACTGGAATAAAATATGATGTATATTACCACGCATTGATGATACCAATGTTTTGCGGTAGCTATTTTTAAATTAATTGAATTTACCTTCATAGAATATACCTATCTAAATAAAAACACAGTTATAATAGAGTATTTCTTCAAATAATTAGTAACACGAGACCCATAAGCAAGTATTCCTCTATTTCTTGATTTACTTACACTTTGCTGAAACTGATGGCAAAATGGTGGACTAGTTTTATCCCGTTTTAGTTACGTTTTAGTAGACATTTAGATTAGATGCGCAGTTGTTCTTTAACTGTACGTTACTGTAATTTTACTACTTCTATTTTGATGTTTTTTTTTTGTTATAGGTTGTACTTCTCAATGGAAAACTGACGTATCAAGCTGGGGTGACCAATATGGTGGCGTTCACGAAGAAAAGGATTGCTATAAACTACCAGAAAAACTATGGCCTGGATGTTTGTTCAGATTCAAATGGATGGTGGGTTATTCCAATCCTGATGTTTCTTTCGAAGAAGTTGAATGTCCACAAGAATTGATTGATATCAGTGGGTGTTCTCCTATTTCTCACCCTTAATTTTTTTTTAATAAATAATTTTTTATATTTATTTTGTTGTATTATTACTCGTTTTTGTAGATATTCATAAAGCTTTCAACATAGTTGAGCTGGTTATACAAGGTTTTGCAATATCGTAGATATAAAAAAACCCTCGGACAGTTCGATATTAGTTTAAAGGGTGATATCTTGTCATGGAGGTATAATACTAATGGAGATGCCATGAGGCAATTGTTTTGCATATGATATTTTATTAAAAATGACCCCACTGGACGTGGCTTAAATGGTTGACTAAGCAGGGTCGTATTCAATTATAATTAAAGTCCGTATGCAGAATTACAACTTTTAAATGACTTACTTACCTAAAGATTTGTTTCAACATGATCGATTCGAAATTAATTTGATGACATTGCGCAATTATGACTTCTACACTATTTATTATTATTTATTAACCTTTTTCCGACCAAGCCAATGCCAAGACCATAAAAGAGATTCATATTATTATATTGTTCTGTCTTCGCCGAAACCGTCCGATATATGACCTGTGTGATCGAAAATCAACGTTCGAATAACACTGTGCATCAGATTTGTTAATCTCTTTGTGCTTTAAAACTAATACCCGAACTACTATTTTTCGTTCAAGGACTCTTTTGTCTTGATCAAAGCTGCCAATGTCAAAATCTGACAATGAGGAGAATTATGACATCAAATTACCAAACCAAAAACCAAACCACTACGTGAATTGTGAATAAATATATTTCAGTAAAAATACAGCGTTTGTAGAAAGGACAATGAATTACTTTTAAATGTAAAACATGTAGGTCTTTCTGCTGCAGATGACATATATTAAAAATATGACCCGCTACAGTCAAAAGTTTAAAAAGACCAAAAATTCAGCTAGGTATGACTTTATGGTTAAAAGTAAATGGAAGAAAACCATGATCAAAACTACTCGGAACTAAAAAGACTCAGATAATAGTTGTTGGTTTTATTTATGTTTGAAATAACTAATTATATAGAGTAGGTACATATATTACTAAAATTGCAAGCTGGTACTTACTAAAGATTTCTATAATTGGTACCTATGTATAATAAACAACAATCTCACAGATGCACAGCATACAACTATACAAATGGAATTATAGAGATAATTTATTTTAAAAATAGGCATTCAACTGCGATTTGTGATTACAAAAATAAAACTTTAACCACTTTTTCTGATCAGTAATGTTAGTGTTATAGTGAAAAAGTTTCTAGAAACTGGTGTTTTTAATCCTAATAAAGCATTGTGAATTTCCAAGAAAAATGCATGATGTGTTAATTAGTGTCTGGCTTATTAATTTAATTTAAATGGTGATGGTTTTATGATTAAAAGAATACATTAATTTGAACGTTATATTTATTCTCACACCATTTCTTGACAACCTCACACTTGACAACTCTTCTCTCTAATGTCTATACCTGGCCTCTTACATCTAAGTGCTTGGCCTTTTACATCTAACTACTTAACATGATGAAAATTGTTTTGACAAAAATTTTGAATGTCCATGCCATTTAAAAAGAAACCTGTGGCTGTGGATAACATTTGACACAAAATCTTATCCTAAAAATAACTGTTTGGTTGCATTGGAGGAATAATTTCTTCATTGGTACTTTTTTAGGGTGCAATTATGACTTGACATTACTAAATTTAAACCTTTGTTATAAGTTGTCTTTTTGCTTTAATTTCTGATACTCCTATATTGTACATACTTGAAAAATATAAAATTGTTCAAGTAGGAAATTTATATACAAGGTGTCTCATTGAGAAAGGGATACAGAACAACTGAAGAGTCTGATTGAAAACTTATTTTCTACAATTAAATTATTGTATAGTAATTTAAGGCTTGCAATGCATATTTTTAAACCTAGAAAACCAGTGGATCTATCAGTTTCTAATAGAAGTTTACCATCAGCATGTGTTCTTAAAGAACTAATATATTTATCGACAGAGTCAAGAAAAATACATGTATTATTGTAATTATTTTCAGATAGAGGTTTCTTATAATTGAATTGTAAAAGATTTCGTGAATTCAGGATGTCAAACAGAATGTTCATTTTTCTAATAAAATTAATTGTCGCCCCAGCATTTTTAAAATCTTCAATATGTAGAACGTTCGTACAAAAATCTAAGGCAGTTGAGACGCTTTCGCTAAATAGTTGGGTTGCAAGACGAACTTTCATTTTTTGTTTTTTAAAAGCTATATGTTGCGAGTTTAGCTTATTTGCTAAGTGGAAAGATTCATTTTCCTGTAATTCGTGAAGTTGTTTGAAATACTTCCACTCGACAATTTTATTTTCTTCATTTACAAATGAATACTTTTCTGCTAAAGTATTTCTAATTAACTTTAGCATGTGTGGCGGATCTAAAAATATAACAATTTCTTCATTATTTGATGGATGCTTGAAACTAGTTTTTAAAGTTGTATGATGTAAATTACAGCCCAAGAGTTTGGCCATTGTTAGATTATTAGAAGCACCATCAAATGTTAAACTTACAACACTAACACCTACTTCATAACATTTCTTTAAGCATTCTTATACCAGCCCCTTTTTCTGTTCACCTGTCATACTTGTAATTAAAAAATATCCTACTAGAATTTTCCAGCTTCCATTTACACAATTTAATAAGAAAACAAGAGCATTGTTTGCAAGCGTAGTTTCATTTGCACCCGTTCCTATACCTACACAACCATAACTTTTACGTTAGCTTCCAACAAACTCCTCAGGTTGACGACTGGCCATTTCATCCATAATAAGTGCACAAATTATTTTTTCATTGAAAGAATTTGATTTAATCTGTAGGGCATTGAAAGCCTCACTTGTGAATCCAGGCTCACCTTTTATACTTTGATACCATCGACTGATTGTACGGACATGTGGTAAGCAAGTGTCAAATGTTCTTCTTACATAATTATAAGCAGCAGGTGAGTAATAGTGGAGAGTTAAGGAAAACACTTTTAGCTCTTCTTAATACTTCTTAGGCAATGGTAGGTTAGACTTTTTTTTAATTGCCTGCTACATATCTCGATGGGGCCCCCAAGTTTTGACATTATATCTAACTCATCTTCCTGTATCAAATGTTTGTAAAATCATTTAATATATTTTTTAAGTTGGCAATTTTATTCACTTTTCGAGAAAGTTGTCGTCTTAGCAATTTTAATTTTTGCTTTCTTTTTGCACTTGTTGCTCGAACAGAGGAGAGTGTATGTAATATTTTTTGTTTCTTTGGCGTCAGCGGTTCTTCATATGGAATATTTAGAGAAGAAGTAGAGGGTACAGGTAATTCGATCTGACTGGTTTGATTTGCTGGTTTAATAAGAATATTTGATAGGATCCTGATTTTTGGAGGAGGAGGTGTAGGTATGGATGGGTTAGTCTGGAACAAGATTTGGTATGTTATAAAGCCTTAAAAATAGATCCATGATACAAAAACTACTAGTTTAAGGTCCAAAACTACTAATGTTTAAAAATCATTAACTTCGTAATGTTTTAAATTATATTTATTGTGTATTGTGAACAAAGTCGGCAGGTTTTTAAATTAAGGAACATCAATTTAATGTTTGTTCATTTAATATTAATAATAATTGTAATGTGGTACATGAGCGGGCATATTATTTTATTTCATGAGGATGAGGAGGTACATAGCAGTAAGTGATGGCCACAAATCTAATTAAATAATAGAAATACATCACCAGTATTTATTATTATACAGTATATTCATTATCAAAACGGTATAATAATAGGAAATTAGGTTCTAATAAAAACTGCTTTTAAATACTTGAAATTTTATTCTAAATTATGTGTTACTTAAAAAGTTAGTCATTTAAGTGTAATTATAAGTTGGTTTTTAAGTTTAATTATAAGTTGGTTTTTAAGTTTAATTATAGTTGGTTTTTAAGTTTAATTATAAAGTTAGTTATTTAAGTTTTATTATAGTTATCTAAGTTTTAATAGAGTTATTTGTCTTTATTATAAAGTTAGTCAAGCCAATGTTCTTTATTAAGTTAGTTATTTAAGTTTTATTGTAAATAAAAAGTATACTAACTGAACATTCATTTATTGTCGGAACAGCATTCTTCTTCAATCTGACCCTAAACTCGCTCTTATCAAAAAACTCTTCCTTGAAGTGAATAGAGCACAACATGCTATTCGGTTTAGGCTTAAATTGGTCTTTTCCCACAAATTTAGACCAAATTTTGAGATATTGTGGGTCTTTTGGAAACCTATATTAAAAAAAGTTAAGCATTCTAAAAAAAAAACTAAGTACACTCCTTATACTTACTTATGAAAACTTAAATTAGATATTTTCTTACGCTCTTTCACTGAAGAGTTTTTACAATTAATTTTGGCACACTTAGTCATGATTTTTATACAAATTAATAAAAAAAAACACTTGTTAAGATAGAAATAACGTCGAAATATTTAAATTTGAACAAAGTTCTGACAGCTCTTTGACAACTATGACATGACCACTAAGAGAGGGGGAAGGGGTGTCGTTTTTTTTTTGGCATGTCATCTCCATTTGCAATAACTTTCTATTATTGAAAAAGTTATTTTAAGGTAAATTCAAAAATAGGCCTATTCATTGAGATACTTTTGATTTTAGCGCCTTCTAGCAGGATAAAAGACTCACCTATTATAAAGTATGGCACTTCAATTGAAAGCTAATTTTAATAATAATTTATTGCACGACATAAAACATAATTGAATGAAACAAGAACTTAAATAAAAGCATAGTTCAAACGTTAAGAAATACAAACTTAATCGCAATCAACCAAAATAAAAAAATTATGCTACGCATGTATTTAAAATAAAAATCGTTTTACGAAATTTGAGGTGTTTTATAACGAAAAACAGATTATAAATCTAGATAAACTACTATAAAAAAGAATGCAGTAATAGATGAAAAAAAAAAAAAAATAAATGTAGGTAACACAATTATCTCTAAAATCTTTTGAACTCAAGTGCCTATAACCTTCAAACAAAAAAGTTTGATAAAGTAGTGCAAAGTTTAAAAAACTTTAAAATATACCGGGTTGTTCTATTTAATTTTTAAATAGTTTATTAATTCCATCAGTGCCTTATTGTTTCAATTGATCAAATTACATTATCGTATATTACTTTTATTAAAGTCTATTCAAATTTAATTTACGCCTGATGTAAACAGAAGCAGGTAGACGCTAAAATTGAGCAGGGCCGTATTTTACTTTTCCGTCTTGCAAAAATGTAAAATAAAAGAGTGTAATTGTGAAATTATTTTTTTTATTACGATAAAAACATATTTTGTAAACTAAAACTATAAAATAAATGCCATACACGGTCTCCCAGACTTTAGTGACATTTCTGGACGAAGATAGGTGAGCGACATAAACTGCGTTAACCTGCAATACAAATTAATAAATGTATTTGACTTTAAAAGAGATGGTTGCATTATATTTAGTTCATTACATATGTCTACTGTGATACAGAGCATTAAAACAATCATATTATAAAATTATATTGTACAGGGTGTCCAAATAATTGCAAATTCTTTAATAGCTATTATATATCTACTAAAAGCATTAAAAAAACTTTAAATATAAGAGGTATTTGGTATTTGAATTTGGTATTTCATTTAAAATTGTGCATCTTAAAAAGAAACCTTTTGTATTTCTGATAACTTTTGTTCTTTATTGTTCTTGTTCTACTGGTATTTAGATTAGACAACTTGTACTCTGTATTATAGCAATCTTCCTTACTTGACTTAGCACTATTCTGAATCGGATAAATTAGTTAGACTTGAAAGGCTATCTTCATTAATCAAAATTACAAGTGGTTCTACCTGAACCTCTATAATATTATCCAACTCCCACATTTTTACTTCAACTTTTTGGCGAACATGGTCGATAACTTTTTCCATTTTTCTGGAGAAATTAATAATATGACTTCTTCAAAAAGAATTTTAATGTCTCCAGATTTAAATGTTGAGTTTTTATCTGCTACGTATTGTTTAACGTCAACCTAGATTAATTAAATAGGGTTAAGTTCACAATGATACGGAGACATGTGAAGTATTATGTTGTTTTGCTGCTTAGCCATTTCATCTATTACATACCTATCATAATGTTTATGTTGCTTACCAAGTTTTAGAAGTTGGATCTTAAGCATTTGGTAGTCGAATTCAATTTTTTTCCCTTATAGCCATTTTTAAATATCACCTTTTTTAGACGTCGTAGATATTTTTTCCAGCTTTCTCGAATAATAATGCAGTTATCTTCTAATTTTGGTAGGGTGTTTGGAAACCACTCTTTGAACGATTCTCCACACATTTCTTCATGGTAGTCACCGGATTTTTCAACTCAAATACATAAAGTGCATTAGAGACAAAGCCTTCTTCACTTCCAATATGACATATAATGAGCTGTTTTTACGCACATACCTGATGGGTTTTTAAAACCAGTTAAAAGTTCATCCAAAAAGGCTTGTCTGGATGAAAAAACTGACATATCGAAACATACTTTTGATTTGGGGTGGCCTGCGTTAATCCAAGTCTCATCAAGATAATATATTTTTTGCTTTTCTTTTCTGTACCGTTTTATTTTTTGTGGCGTAGAACGAAACAATTTAATTTTTGTCTAAAAGCAAACTATTTTTCCTCGAGTTTTAAATTTAAAATTAAGGGTTTTGGAAAGCTTGTAAAATGTAGCTCGCTTAAAAGTAGACAAATATGGATCATCGTTGACTTCTTATAAAACCTTATCAATTGTTGGAAGTTAATTTCTGAAGAAGAATTGATGTACTTTACGCCTTATTGCATTTTAATCAAAATCATCCACAGAGCCACTAATTTGTTTATAACGTAGCTTTATTTTTGGTCTATAAAATTTATGAATCTGCCTGTACCCCTTCATGACATTAAAAACGGTTTTAGCGCACATCCCTGTTTTATCAGCACCTCTCCTTTCAACATCATGTACCAACATATCAGGATTCTATAAAATTTAATACTTATTAATATTAAGAACCATTTCTTTAGTACGGATGACCAAATGTCCCTTTTTCAGTCGCTTTTTAGAAGGAGTAAAAACATTGTTCTGGACTTCAACTGCTGTATCTGTGGAGGACATAGTGTCACGCAGCAATTACAAAATATAGTCAATTAAATGTCCACAAAATAGAGTAAAACATGTTCAAACTAACAACAACCACAAAAACAAAAAAAAATAAATAAACAATATACAGGGTGTTAAAAAAAGTGTCACAAAATAAAACGGGGGTAGTATGGGCCAAAATATGCAGAAAAGTCTTAATAAACATATGTCCGCAAATGAATGGTTTCAGAGATACGGAGTGTTTTGCGTTTTGTATCATTTTTTGATTATCTTTTTTCATTCTCAAAAACTTGCTTTTCTTATCGGAGTCTACCGATGTTTTTTAATTTTCTTTGGGGACACTTAAAAAATTTAGTGTACGCCACTCCTGTGAATAACCTCGAAGAGCTGCAGCAACGAATAGAGCAGGGATGTCATCGAATCCTAGCCAATGAGGGTGTTTTGGAAAGAGTCCGACAGTCCTTTCGGAGGAGATGTCGTAGCTGCATTGAAATGGAGGGAGGGCACTTTGAACATCTCATTTAACCATCATTTAACTCTATGTTGTTATTGATTGTTTATAAATATCATTGTTTTTTATAATAATAAAAAATTGTTATAAACACAAAATGGTTTGTATCTCCGAAACCGTTAATTTGCGGTCATATATTTATTAAGACTTTTCTGCTTATTTTGGGTCATACTATTCACCATTTTATTTTGTGACACTTTTTTTTAACGCCCTGTATGTATATCTAAACTATAATATAATGAATTATGATCAATCAACATACAAAATGTTCAAACTTACCAACACGGTGAATGCTACCAAAACGTCGCGCCGTTTATAATTGTCCAAATTGAACTGAATTCGACTCTGACAACAAATATTTGCGCGTCGTCTAAATGACTAACGACCGATTAACCAATAAAAGCGCAAAAAAATGTCACGTGAGCTGTTGCTGGATGGGAGAAATTATTTTGACGCGGCGTAAATGAAATCTGAATAGACTTTAGTATTCTATCAAATGAAATCGTTGTAGAAATGTAATACCTCTATGAATACAGCTGAATTTTTTATAAAAACTTGTCTTCTTCGCCTCGATTTCGTACTTCTTAATTTTGTGACGCTACACCCAACAGGAAGAGGCCACCGGTAGTTTAAGAACCGTGGAAAATGGCAGCAATTATAAACTTTATTTCCAGAAAATATTCCTAACACGTACCCCACGGCTAATACTGCACTGCAATTATTCGTCGCCGGAAAGACAAAGAGGCGTAACTCCAATTTAGCTATTTTACAGGAGATGCCAATAAACTTTTCGATTATAATGCATTGCATATGCAATATGCATATTAGTGCATTTAATTTGCCATATTATGTTAAATATAAGGAGGAGAGATACGCCTCTTTGTCACTTTAACAGATTTGTGGTGCTCTTAACTCAAATTGAACATTTTTCGACTTACGCCTGTTTGCCTTTCCAATGACGAATTAATATAAACATTCTTTGAAATTGGATATTTGGTATAAACAATTCAACCTTGTGTATAAACCAGTTTTATAACTGCATAGGTACTTAGGTTTCATTATTTATATTTATTAGAAGTTGGGATATCCTGTATAATTTAAAAGTGTTGCGCTATAAAATAATATGCGATTTAAATTGAGTATATAAATAGATAACAGAGAAAATGTATTTAATAGAGAGCTAATATTCAAATAAAGGTATTTTCTATTTTCTATTTACTATAATGAAAGGTGCAGTGATACTCTTTGCAGTCGGTAAGATATTTTCTTTAATTTGATTTATATTTTTTTAATAGTATAAGAAAAAAGCAATTAAAGAATAAACAAGTAATAAATGTATTATTTTTGCTGTGTTATATTTAAGAACATTTTGAAACATTGCAATTAAGCATACCTATATACAGTCCTTGGTTATAATCTTAGATAAAAGAGACCGGAGATGTAACATTGCACATTGCGCATGTTGTCTATTCCAAACCTAAGTAACCCACCAATTAAAAATCATTGTGTTCACGATGCCACCCGAATTGCTCCGAAATTTCTATTCTTTGCTTGTCTCCGCGTGAGTAAATCATTTATGGACCGCCATTTTTGAATTATTTGTTGGTGTTATTAGCAATTTAAAGTGTTTTAGTTATTCAATTTCAAGTTGAAAATGCCACGATGTATGGTGAAAAATTGTATATACAAATAATATGTGTCAATGTTATGAAAAATAAGAAATATATTCGTTTTCAGCGGTAAATATTTGTTGACGTTTTGACATAAAGTCGCCATGATTCTTTGAGCTGAATACTTCAGATCCGCATTAAGGGGTTTCAATAAATATTTAATATTAAAGTAAATAGGCATTGTTACTAACGAAATTTTGTTTTTAAAAAGTAGTTTTATAAGAATATTTACTAAAAGTGGTTTTTAGCCCTTTATTAGATATTTTTACAAGAATATTAGATGAAATACAGGTTCACCTACTTAAAATTTCAAGGCTTATTTTATTTGCGGTTAAATCAAAAGTGACATTTGAATCTTAAAACAAAGTAAAACGCGCAATATGATCTAGTATAAGCAAAAAATACTAAAGTTACGGAAATTAGTCATATTATTAGTAAAATGTTACATTATAAACCCCTAAACAACTCGAAAAATATCTTCGTTTACTAAAAAAATCTAAATTCTAGCAATATTTATTATACAATCGAATGCGGTTTCAGAGATAACAGGATCAATAAATCCGAATCTCAAAATTTTGGAGCTAAATGCTCTGATAAAAGCATGCGACCGATAGGGGTTACAAAAATAATCGATTTATCGTTTTCATGAAAATCGATTTATCCGTTATAATTAAACGATTATCTTTAATAGATTATTTTTGATTAATCGAACATTTTTAATAATTTTTTTTCGTTTTTTTAGGTAATGGAATAATCGATTATAAAGGAATTACAAAAAGAGAGTAGATTTGTTCAAAATATTCGATTTATTGAAAATAATCGATTTTTTAGAAAAATCGATTTATTGTTTAATAGACTTTTTAAATTAATCGATTATTTTCGATTAATCGATTATTTTAGATAATTCGATTATTTTCGATTTTTCAAAGGTATTCAAATAATTTGTTTTAAAATACAAAAAATAGATTATATAAAAATAATCGATTGATCGAATATAATCGGTTATATTATATAATCGATATTTCGGTTATTTTATAGCATTATTGATTTATCGGTAAATCAGCTTTTTATTAATCAATTATTTTCGATTTTTCAAAGAAAATTAAATAATTAGTTTTAAAAGGAATATAAAAAAAGAAAAGGATTATCAATAATTATTCAGTTTTTTTTTTTTTTTTTTTTTTTTGGAAAATCGATTTATCGTAGAATCTTCTTAATTAATTGGTTATTTTCCGTTAATCGATTATTTTCGATGTTTCAAAAATGATCGAATAATTGATTTTAAAGGAAATAATTCTTTTTTTTTTTTAAATCGATTTATCGATTATTCGACTTTTTAATTAATCGATTATTTTTGATTAATCGATTATTTTATATTTTTCAAAGATTATCGAATAATGTTTCAATGGAAATACGAAAAAAAAATAGAAATTAAAAGTAATCGATTATTTAAAATAAACGATAATTCGTTTATTATTTTTTGTAAACACTGATTTATTGGTTAATTGGCTTTTTAATTAATCTATTTTTTTTTTATTTTTTAAAGATAATCAAGTAGTCAATTTTAAAGGAAATACGAACAAAAATAGATTGTTTGAAAATAATCGATTGATCGAAAATAATCGATTATTATTAATGATCAGTAATTTATTTCGATAATCACCCACTCCTAGCGACCAAATGACTTTTAATAGGTTTAAATTTTAAAATGTTATCTGGTTTCAGACATATACATTTCTAGAGTTTTATGTGACGCATCCTCTATATTAATTAATATTCCTAAAGAAACAAGCTTTAATATATCTTTTTCTGAGGTTATAATACAAAACAGCATTTTCTCATTTTGACTAAATTTTAATATTATGTGATAGTCGTAGAAAAAATATAATGTTCAACTCACAAGGTTTGATTTGCAGTATTCGCCTGCGCACATGCTTTTTTATAATACTCTTAGACAATGAGTACCATTTCTTACTCGATTAACAATATTCTATTTCAACATTTTACTGTAGTCTCTTACAGAAAAGTCCATAGTAAATAATAGCTAACGAAATATTCTATTAAAGGTCTTCTCTTTACATAAAATATCGTGGCATCTGTTTGATATTAAATAATCACGTTAAATTTATTTCATAATACAAAATTCCATTAAACGTATATTTTAAATAAATCTAATAGTTCATTATGATGCTAATAAACAAAGTCCGGTCCCTGTCACAGAGATCGGGTCCCTGCCCAGTTCCCCCACTCCGTTAACCTTTCTTTAGAAATTGACAACATTTGCGCAGGTTAAACACCGGTGTATGTTATATCTCTGGTCTCTTTTATCTAAGGTTATAATACATGTTCCCTTTTTTTGATAAGTTCTTTATTTCTATTTTTTCCAAATCACTTTACCCAATCCAGAGTAACTCATGGACGTGTCCTTATGCCTTTACTTTCTTTATACTGATGATATAACCACAGTAGGTCAGTTAACCTTGGTAACTTTTGCGACTCTACCTCGGAAGAAAATCCAGTTAGAGTTTCTGAAAAGCTCTAGAACTATTTGTCCAGTACGACAAAAATCTTTTTGTGGCAAAAACTTACCTGGAAGATTCATATTAAAGTTAAATAAGTTCAGGTCAACCTAATAAAGTACTGGAGAAGTAGGTACTTAGCAAAAGAAAATATTCCATGGTACCTACTTGTAAGCAATTTGACTCTTCATAAAGATGTAATCACTCTCCACATGTCCAAAGCGATATATTTTGCTAAAACTTAAACAATACATGAATTATACCAGACCCTTACAGTGTCCTAAAATTGTTATTTCCACCTAATAGTACTGATAACTCTTAATTTTCTTAAGTTGCCGCTGCTTTGGCAAAAGATCTACAGTTTAAACCCATTGCTGGCGGTCTCTCCGGAACTGGTACCACAACCCGTTACTGGGATTGCTGCAAACCATCATGCTCTTGGAAGGAAAACATCAAGACCCCCGATATGATTCCAGTTTCAAGTTGTACATTAGATGGTAGCACTGTTGTAAGCAAAATTAGTAACTCAATCTAAATCCTTATTAAAATAGAAATATATTTTTTAGGTGAATGCTTCAATTCAATCCGGATGTAACGGTGGTACTGCCTACATGTGCACTAACCAACAACCTTGGCAAGTCGATGAGAATGTTGGTTACGGTTTCGCCGCGGCCTCGTTCACTGGAGGTGTTGACACCAACTTGTGCTGTGCTTGCTTCAAATTGGACTTCACCGATCAACTTGTTGGAAAAAGTTTGATTTTGCAAGTAAGTAACCAAATCGTGTTCTCTGATCAACATCCTTTTGGTGCATTTGCCTTGAAAAGAAGAAAAATAAAACGTCATATATCAAACAGCAGATGTAGCTCATTAGTGATAAACCAAACAAGATAGTCGTTTGACTAGTTTAGTTTTTAGTACGTTTTGTGCAATATATTATTATTTATTAAGTGATTTGAGGTCCTAATGAATCAATAAAAAGTTTAGAATGTTCACTCCATTAAATCATTTGTGTTCTTTGTTTGTTTTAGGTTACCAACACCGGTGGCGATTTGGGTCAAAACCAATTCGACATTGCCCTTCCCGGTGGCGGTGTAGGCATCTTCACCCAAGGTTGCCACGACCAATGGAGCGCCCCTTGGAGCGGTTGGGGTGATCAATATGGTGGAGTCGGTTCCAGAGAGCAATGTTTATCCGATTTACCCAAACTCCTTCAAGCGGGATGTCTCTTCAGATTCGATTTCATGAACAACGCCAACAACCCTCATGTCCAATTCACCCAAGTCGAATGCCCCGCTGAAATCGTTAAAATCAGCGGATGCAATTTGAGTCCTTAATTTTAATAAATTACTCATGTAAAAATACCTTTTTTTATTTGTTTTTATTTTGAGTGGACTTGATATAATATACAGAGTGAATTAAAACTTCATTCAATAACAAAGTCGTTATATAAAGACGCCGATTTTTATCTGTAACAGATACATTAAAAGTAATAGTTGAATTATCATATATAATACAACGAGTGGTATCGGGACCATCGATAATAGCATAAGTTAAGACAACATGCTAAGTGCATTAATTTAAGTGATTATCCATAGAACCAGTAACAATAAAAGTTGTATTAAATAGATACTATCACAAATTAATTAAATATGTTAGCTCAATAATTTACAGTTACAGTACAAAAGCAATGACAAAACGTGACAGGCTTCCCTATTAGATTTTACACCAATAATGTACCAAGCATGATTATCAGTTATTAGTAGACCTAAGAATATATGCACCCAAAAAGTAGTTAAATATGCGCATATATATGCCGCAAAATACTTCAATATATGCGTAAAAAATTGAAAAATATGCAGAGCATATGCAATAAGAGTAATTTGTTATTTGATCGAAATAGTTTATTAATATTTATTATTTGTTTTATTTTACAATACCTAGTATAATACTTAATAATTATTTCATTATTAACTAATTTTATTTACAAATCAACATTATTATAAAACGAATGAACAATTAGATATTTTTCTAAATTATCTGTATTAAATGATTGTCTCCTATCAGTAAGTTTGTACTTGTACAAAGAAAAACTCCTTTCGACATCTACAGAAGTAATAGGTGCAAACTTAAATTTTCCTGAAATATCTGGATGAATAGTATTAATATCTTCAAAGTTACCAGAATAAATATTAGCAAGGTTTCTTAAAACAATAAATCCTTCATTTTAAAAATTACATTTGAAAATTTATGAAAAATCGTCTTTCCAATATCGCCCTGGACATTTTTATACTCTGATTCAAACGTCTTAATTAAATTTACGGAAGTCACCAAAGGTAAATTTTTTTGTTCTAAATCTAATATAATTTTGGGTACAAATGCATAATTTTTTAAAAACACTAATTGCTTTGGTAATATGTTATTTTGAAACAACTTCTTTGTATTAGATATTCCCTTAGATGAATCATAAAACCCAAATATGATTTCTTTAATTTTTTCATAATTATCTGCGTAAAAAAAGGCAGCTTGTGACAGGCTCCTGGTTCACCTACAGTGAATCAGCGAGTCTGTGTGGCGCTATGAAGGTGATTCCCAAATAGGAGTTGCTCAGGCGCCAGTTTTGATATCGCAGTTTGCTCTGCGACCCTGTGGTACACCAGAGTGTACTCAAGGTGAACTCAGTGGAGGTAAAAATAATTCCAGGCGGTCACTGCTAGGTAATCACTATACTAGAATTAATCAAAAAAAATAAAACACTTATCTTCTTTACACCTCGTACCCTACGGTACCCTTAACAAATCCAACGGGTTAACCAACTACTTATTTACGGTCACGGCACTATACGGCGTCATCACTATAATTTTTAGAAAGATCAGTACTTCTCGGGTGTCGGGAGTCAAGAGGCGGCATTTTTAGCTTTCCATCAATTTATGCTTTTTCGGTAAAGAAAGATGGAAGACTAGTACGACAAAGTGGGGATACCACTACTACAGCCGACTGTTTACAATTCAGAAATACAAAAAATGTCCTTCTTGTACCTTGACAATTAAAAGTAGATAATTCATACGAAATCGACTCTAAAAATGCCCATTCGGATTTCGGCAAATAAAAGGATATTTTAACCTACGAGGGTACTCGCAATTGTTGAAAATCGGTCATTTTTGGGAAACAAAAATACGGGGGAACTTCTACATGTTCTCAGGCGGGAATTAATTGAAATATACATTTTTAAGATGAATTAAAAATAAAATTTAGTGACTTCGTCACAAGCTTTAAGCCAGGTACCCCACCGAGTAATCACAGGTTCCGGTGACATCTGTAATTCAGGAAATTTTTCTTTGTACAATTGAGTTCTTAGAGGAGCTTTAAGAAATATTTTGTTTACATTACTAATTAAATCATTTATTAAAGGAAAGTTAGACCTAATTTCTTCTGCAACTCTGTTAAGGCCATGAGCTAAACATGTAACATGTAACATGGATCATAAAACATTTTTAAATTTTGTGCGGCTTTTACCATGTACGGGGCAGCATCGTATAACAGCAATAAACATTTTTCTGTTGGAACGGCTTCCGGAAGAAAAAAAGAAGACAATTCTGTCTGGATAAAACGAGTTATTGTCAAGTTATTTGTTTTATCTAATTGCTTTGAAGCGATTAGATATGGACCAATTTGCATTTCTTCGCGTAATGAACCTATCATTAAATGGGCTATATATCGACCACAAGAGTCTGTTGTTTCATCCACAATAATGTAGAAATGGTTTCCAACGGTAATCTCACGAATCTCAATGTACAAACTGTCAACACCACGTTTGCGTAATATACTTTGCTCTGGAATATTAAATTTACAGTATTTTTGCAAAAATGATCGGAGATTTGGATTATTTAATCGTATTAAAGGGATATTCGAAGTCACTAAAGCTTTGCATAAATTTTCATTAAAAATAGCTTGTTCACTTCTAGACGATCCAGATTCTAAATATTGTTTCAAGGGAAGTTGACTTTGTCTGCGAGTGTCTTTAGATTTCTGCTTTGCTATATGTGAGGGTTTTCACGTGTTGGTTTATTTGAAACTTTTTTTTACATGAAATCTAAAACAAATAAATTCCTGTAGATGTTGAAGTTTTAATTAAATTAAATAAATGCGTACGTTGTAAAGTTGCCCTACCTTTTTTTTAACTGTGAGTTGAAATAATATTTTACTGTCGTTTGATTTACCATTGTGAAAGGTCAAAATAAAATATAAAATAAAAAAGTATTTACAATTTTAGAACATGTTTTACAAAACACCTGGTTATCACCTTCTACAATAAAATCTGAATAAGATTTTACCCACGACTCAATTAATTTTCCCACTGGTTAACACAACCCAACAATAAAGACTGAAATGAAGTTGAAAGTAAACTAAGTCATTTAGAAATTTGAAGATATTAATACAGCTACCTGAAAGGATATTTAGCAAAATTTGTTGGTTTAAGGAGGGTGTTTATAATTTAATCCTCTCAAGTACCTACACCATTAACCGTAATTTATTACAGGGAAAAGTTAATCCTTAAAAATTTTAGGAAATCGACCTGTAAAGGCATTTCACAAAATAATAATTTGGTCCAGAACTCATAATTTTAATATGACCAGCCAATTAGTACGTCAGATATATGCCAAAAAATTAACAAAATGTCAATATATGCATTCAAAATCAAAAATTGTATATATATGCAACATATGCAAAATATGGCATTTTGCATATTATATTATTAACTCTAGTTTTTAGTCAAGTATGCTGTGTGATTACTGAATATAAATCAACTAAAATAATAGGAAATTGTCACATTATTTTGCGTAATATTATCATTGTAATATTTAATGAAAATGTACTTATATTGTCATCAAATAACCTGTTATGTCAAAATTATTTATTACCTTTGTATCATAATTATAATGGGTTTAAATAGATTTATACGACAAAAACGATAAAAAAAGATTTATTATTTGAAGAAAGGTACCTGCGGCGACACACCGTAATTCTAGCACACAGTGGCTACTCGTATTTCATTGAAATTCAAAACCTACCTGCTCGAGTTTTTGATTCAATGGGTAAAATTTCTGAAAAGCAGATTTCGCTGTTTTCTGAAAAAAGGATTGCAGATAACGACAATAAGCTTGTAATACGGTACATATTGTATAAAATAGGTTATCTTTCTTATGTAATATGAGAAATTTCGTATTTTACTGATATTTTTTCATACAAAGAAAAATATGTATTGATTTTCTCTGATACATAAGTAAAATAATTTTTATAGGTACAAATTCAAATCAAATGTATTTGTTCAAATGTTAAAAATACTTTATAATGAAAAATATATTAAAGATTTCTAAGGCATTTCTACTCAACCAGTTGGCTTTTTTCTGTATTTTTTTTTTTATTAAAACTAGATATTGAATATACAGTGTGAGTCAATAAAACAGGACGATTCGGGAACGCCATTGTAGAAAAAGTATAGGGGAGGCGGGTTGGGCCGTCAACGTTGTGAATGTTGAGATCGGGATATCGGGAAGTTAGTTATCTTATCCTCATTCAATTTTTTTCCTTTCGGGATACCTAAAAACAAGTGTTTTAAAGTAACCCTCCAAGTGGATGCAATATCGTTAGAAATGCTGCGCAATATTTTGGGTAGCTTTGCAACGAGTCCTTACTAAAAAAAATTAACGATTGTACACTTACACAATATTCCCAATCGTGTAGTATATGTTTTTATTAATAAATTTTACAAAAGATGATTTTTTTGAATTGTTTTTGATTTTTTGAAATGTCCCGTTTCATTGGTTCATCTTGTACTTAAAACTAATCCCTTAACTAAAAATACATTTTAAAAATAAGAATAAGAGACAAAAAATTTGACAATAAAAGAATAGATAATAATTTTTTAAAAATACGCAAAAAAATGGTCAACAAATAGGCAAAAAATATGCAAAAATAGGCAATAGTTGACAAAAATAAGCAAAAAAATAGAAGATGAAAATTGGAATGTTATGGAAAAGGTATTGATAGTGAAAACAATTTTTTTTTATAGAAATATAGTAAGAAAAGACAGTTTTTCAAGTGTTTTTGGGGTTCATTTCCTCATTTGATACTTTTGAAAACATAAATTTAATCATTTCCGTATCTGATAATACAAAATATTCATTCCCTAATTATTTTAAAGTCATGTGTGCCATGAAATGTTAAACATTAGATAAATAATTACCTATAAGAGAGAGCTGTCATTTTTATTTCACAAATTATATAAATTAAAAATTATGTAAAAAAAGTGAAGTGTTCATCTAGCTAGAAATAC